ACAAAGAAAACGAAAAAAGAAAAAGAAAAAAGGAAAAAGGAAAAAGAAAAAGAAAAAGAAAAAGAAAAAGAAAAAGAAAAAGAAAAAGAAAAAGAAAAAGAAAAAGAAAAAGAAAAAGAAAAAGAAAAAGAAAAAGAAAAAGAAAAAGAAAAAGAAAAAGAAAAAGAAAAAGAAAAAGAAAAAGAAAAAGAAAAAGAAAAAGAAAAAGAAAAAGAAAAAGAAAAAGAAAAAAGGAAAAAGAAAGCATTAGAACAGGAAAAGGGAAAAAGCGAAAAGGGGAAAAAGGAAAAGGGAAAGGGAAAAAGGAGACAAGAGAGTGTGTTCTTCACTGAGGGGGTGGTTGAGCACTGGAACAAGCTCCCAGAGAAGCGTTCGTGGCCCCAAGCCCATCACTGTTCAGTAAGCATTTGTACAACACTCTTCAATATATGGTTTCACTTTAAGGTTGCTCCATGTGGAGTCAGGAGTTGGGCTCAATGATCCTTTTGGGTCCCTTCCAACTCAGGATACTCACTGATTCTAAATATTAGTACTAAAACTCAATTCGACTTAGTTATGCAGGACAGGATCTCAAAATACTATGTAAATGTGAACATTTAATGAATTGAAAGAATGGAAATAGACATTTGTCCTACCATAATTTTTCTCATTAGGTATTTTTTTAAAGACTATTAAATTAAAACAAGGACAGACTGTATTAACTACCAGCAATAAATCAGTATCAGACCTACCAATTCTTGCTTCTGGGGTGGGGAACACGTTATGCCATGCACTATGTAAGACAACAATGTAGAAGACAGAAAAGGGAGGAATACAGAAAACATTATCTCCATTTTGCAGGTTCAGTAGAGAGGCACAAAAAGATTACAAAGAACTTCTAAAGTCACTTGTGCACTGGTCTGAGCTCGGGATATGGCACAAAACCATAAGAATTTTGATCTGCCCCAGCATGGCATTTTTCAAGGCAGCAGGAGGGGAGATGTGTCCAGATGTCTCTGCACCATTATTGACACAACATTTTGCCATTTTTACTTGTAGGGATTCTGGAGAAACAAAGACTTTCCTCCTTCTGTCATAACTGCCTGGAGCTTCTCCTGACCTTTTTTCCCCCCTCTCATTTTTCCAGGTGATTAAAATGTGCAGTCAGAGAGCATGACTGTAACGCCAAGAAGCCAGCAGTTTTAACACCACAAAACGATAATTGTGTAATAGTTCAGGCCATATTAGTTCCAGCATGCACCAACCCTCAGCCGGGGATGACAGAGCACCAGCAGCTTGCAGCACAATGACTGACAGAACTGGGACATGGCAAATTGCACTTTCGAAGCCTGCAGCAGAACAAGAGCTAGGGGATACGCTTTGCATTAAAAACAGTCATGTACTATACTCTTAGAACACGGGACAAAGTAGGACAGCACATGAGTGCTTCCCTTCTAAACCATTTCACTTGAAACGTTTTCCATCCTCCTCTCATTCTTCTTTGCTGGTCTGTAATGACAGTTGTCTGTACTACCAGTGTAACGTCACTTATATTCTTACACTCTGCTACAGATTCATACTAAATGAAAGAGATTTTGCTACCTGCGAATATCACATTAATTGAAAGAACAGCTTAGGGTGTGACACCTACTACTGGGTGAGTAAAAGGTTTACTTTTCCTCCTCTCAACTCAACGCTGCAATTGAACCTCACTACATTATCACTGTATTGCGGGTGCCTGTGTTGTACCTGTAAAGACTAAGGCAAAATTGAGGCACCCAAACATACCAGATTTTGACCCTTCCAAAATCTTTGCTCACCTCTCCACTAACTAGGTGGTTTGTGACATTCCCAGCCTGTATGTGCCTGATGTTGCCCCCATGTGAGCAACTGGGAGGCCACAGGCAAGATCCTGAATGGAAAGGAACCAAGGGTTAGCCAGAAGTAAACATATAGCACAGGTGAAATTTAAGTTCCCCCATGGGTTTTCCACCTGGGCAGAGAGCAACCTGGGTTCCGTTTCTCAGCTTCAGGACTGTTTCTGTATTTTTGCCAGTTTAGCTTTAAAACGTGACCATAAAAAGTTGCTCCTGTTCCCACAGGTCCCTGGAACTTCGCACTCTCTTCTCTGCTGCAATGTGGCTTCCCCAGGCAATATTCCTCCCCACCATGGGATATTCCACGGCCTGAGGCACAGAGCCATCTCCTGGGAAGGAAGCTTGAACCTATCCAGAGCGGGAGCTGAAGGGAGCCCAACATGCCTCGCTTTCCAGGACTTACGGTAAAAGACAGGTACGCTTATACATCACCCTTACAAAGCCTAAGGCAAGCTCCTACTTTCAAGAGATCATTTATCTACTGAAGTGAATAGGAAATTCTCTCTTCTAGTCTTGAGTGAGCCCCTCAAGAGAGGGGTGAAATACTTGACACCTCTTATTGCCACCCAGCTTCCACCAGGCACTGCAGAAGTGACAGCCAGACGTGGAATAGAGGGCCTGGGTCTTCACTCTAGGAAATAACCCAAACTCTCTTCTTCTGTTATTGCTACAATGTATTTCAGTTCTGGAGGCAAAATTAAACTGTGAGTTGTTGAATCCTGGTGACCCAGTCTGTGTACTGTAAAACTACTTTCCCATTCCCGTGCCTCGTTAAAAAATCAGAATTTCAGATCGTGCTGACAGCTGATACTGTAAGTAATATTAAACCAACATTTTTCTTCTCTGAGTGTGCTTTGAATGGAGTAGCCTTAATTTAAAAAATATTTTAACAGTTAATTTCCTAAAAAGAAATAACTAAATCACTCCTTCCAAACATTACATCCATACGCAGACTCACAGGACGATGTTTCACTGAAGCCATGGCATGGCTGCAGTGAATTCATTGCAAAAGTCATAATCTCAATTTACAGAGAGACCACCCTCCGTGGAGAAAAAAAACCCATGAAAACCTACACAATGAAATAGGAAAGAAAACTTGTAGGATTATCTAACAATGAACCTAAAAGCACAGGCAGTCTGCAAAAAGGATATTAATGTCTTTAATTCTTGAATGGCTCTAGAAAATTCTGTAGCAGGAAAGGAATATTCTATTAAATTACATCAGGTGATTTAAAATATATAAAGGTAATTACAAAACTTTTGTTGGATTTTGCTTACGGCATCATCAAAAGAGACTATGATTTAACTGAAACTAGAATTTCAGACATGCTTTTACATGTTTTTAGTGTTGCTCCCTCCAGATCCATCCTGTATAGATCAGGTTATTTTCATGGATTAAGTGCCTGCAAACGAGAGGCTACAATATTAAATACGTTCAAAAACCTGGAATTAATTTTATAACTTTTGCTAAGAGAATTAGTAGCACACAGCACAACTGGCCCAACATCTATAGATCTTCTTGTAATTACTACTTTCTGCTACGACCACTTTGAATCTACTACCAGATGGGTTTCCATTGCTCCACAACCACAGAAACATCACTCTGGCTCAATACTGCTAAATGCCATTTTCAGAACAGGAAATACAAGCTTTGAAGTGACTAATGAAGTGGAGCAATTACGTAGTTTAATATTTGGTTTATGCAGTTTGAGAGAATTGTTACAAACTTCTTTAAGCATTACAAAATGGGAAGTACTGTGCATAAGATGTAAGTTAATTTAAACCTGCTTTGCCATAATGATATGTTCTGCAGTTGACAAAGTTCTGATGTAATCAATGGTACAGAGGTCCCAAAGTGAAAATCTTAAACAGCCACTGCAGAAAATCTCCCTTTAGAATACGATATACACGCTGTAAGAATCCTAGTGTATCCATAATCAGGTATCACTATTGCATGAGTTGATAAAAAGATTTTCTTTCACCTGTTTCTCCCCTCTCCCTTTCATCACAGCTAAGCCTCTGTTAGCTGTGCCTGCACTAATGGAGCCCGGAGACTGAGTGCAGGGGAAGCAATCAAGGTTGGCACATCAACAAAAGGCACCAGATGCCACCGATACCTCTTCCACACTTCAGTCCTCAGGCACTACGGCAGAACCACGAGCTCTCCTGAATCCAAGGTTTCCTGGTAAAGACAGATTTGAAGAGGCACAGCCCCTTCCCTAAGTGATAAAAATAAAATGCTGATACATTCTACTGTCAAATAAGCCTGCAAGATCAGAATTACACGGTGTTGATGTTAAGCTATTTTATTCCAGTTATACAGTCCTTTGGACAGATAACATTGAACTATTCATTTTGCCTAGCACAGATCTCAATTAATCCACAGAATAAGTTCATCTCCAACAACTGTTTTAATGCAGTGTTAATGAAGGCCCCTAATTTAATCTTTTGCCCCTCCATTTAAAAAGTGATTTTTAAATATAATCGAAAGACAGCACTTGGAGAACAGTTCACTGCAAAGACTTCCACTGAGAAAAGAACAAGAAGGTAAAAAAAAACCAACCACCCCCTACTCCCATACACACAGAAAAGATACAAAAAGACATCAAATAAAGTTTTGTAACAGATTTTACTTTTAGAAAAAGAGTATTTTAGCATCATTTCACAATATAAAGGTAAGATCTGTTTGGTGTTATACAGACATGGCATATCAACTCAGAATGTGACGGGTAAAGCATATTGTAATACTCAGTATGAAAGGTATGAGAGACACTGATGTATTTAGCTAATTACTCCTGGTGCCTCTTTGTGGATACTTTCTTAATTACAGGTCCACTCTGCTTCATACACGTCAGCGGTATATTATGGAATACAAAAACTGCGAAGTTAAAATACATTGCAATGTGTCTGGAAAGAGCAAACCCGGGACCAATTTCTCACGACACAATAATAGGTCTACCAGATCACTGAAACAAATGACATCTTGTATGCAAACTCTCTATCCCATCATTCTACTCCTCCATATATAAAAACAAGTTAAAAAATTGTCTTGATATAGAAAATTGTTCCATCTTCTTACTTCTGCATTCATGTAACTTCATTATCTGGTTTCCTTATCCAGATATTAAACTGTAAAATTAGCAGTTACTTATCGTGGGGCTGTTCCATCATCTTCAGCGCTAATCTTCCAACCATTAGCAAACTGCATATGGGGAAAAGCACAGAATTAAACAATAACAACAATTTGTCAATTCATTTTCAAATACTTCCCATGTAACTGGCACATGGAAACAAAAAAGATACACGAAATACGATTCACTCCATCTCAGTTTAATTAAGCAAACAAGAAATCACACATAGGAGATTTAAAATTAAAAAAAAAGTAATTATGCTGTGTTGTACCTGACACCAGCAATTAGCCCCGCAGGCATGAATTTTCCAGAGTTGTAAAATCTTGTTCCCATGACGGCAGTCAGTGTTCCAGATGTAACTTAAATGAGAGATTATACAGTCCAGTCAGCAGAGATGCATGCGTGTGAGAGAGATGCCACAATTCAAAACTAATAGAATAGAGAGAAGTAGCAGCATCAAGTCAGAAGGGAAACAGGGTTATTTCATGTGATGGGCAAAAAGAGTCGATAAATTGTGTAAACTTTGGAATGCCTCAGTACGTGAAGAGTAAATATTCTAAATCAAGTTCCAGCAGACGGTGCATCCACACGCTTCTGCACGTACTCCTCAAATTTCTTTGTCAAATGTGCTTCTCTGGAGACTGGAAATAATCTATGCAACGCTGCTCTGGAATTCACTCCACCCCTGTGCAGACGCAAATCACAAAACTTTTGCACATAATTCCCTCGCTTCTCGTAAAAGGGAGAGAGCGTTTTGGTGTCTAACTTGTACTAATGTTCTGAGAATTACCTAATTTATGTTTGCAAAAGGCTTCAAAGGGAAGTGTGCTGCTATCTAAGTGCTCAGTGTCACCAACCCACTTCAGCCTGCACCACCTTCCACTAAGGTCAGAAAGTTAAAGCCACCCACCCTGACCACTTGGCGCAGGGACAGGAGCCAGCAAAACAGAAAGGGCAATCCCTGGAACACTGTATCTCAAAGAAAGACTGAATACGAAGGAAACTATAAGGAAAACATACTGATGAAAAAGGGAAGCCTAGAGAGGGTGGAAGTAAGGACAGGTAGCCTGGGATGAATACAGGGAAATTGTCCCAGCAACCAGGTTAGGAAAGCTAAAGCCCTGATAGAATAAATCTGGCCAGGGATGTCAAGGGCAACAAGAAAAGCCTTTATAGATATGTCAGTGATAAAAAGAGATCAAGGGAAAACATGGGGCTTCTCCAGAAGGAAACGGGAGACCTGGTTACCCGGGATATGGAGAAGGCTGAGGTACTGAACAATTTTTTGGCCTGTCTTCACTGGCAAGAGCTGCAGCCACACAGCCCACGACGCAGAAGGCAAAGTCAGGGACTGGGACAATGAAGAACCACCCACTGTAGGAGAAGATCAGGTTCAAGACCATCTAAGGAACCTGAAGGTGCACAAGTCCATGGGACCTGATGAGGTGCATCCATGGGTCCCAAGAGAACTACGCAGATGAAGTTGCTAAGCTGCTATCCATCGTATTTGAGAAGTTGTGGCAGAGATGAAGTTGCTAAGCTGCTATCCATCCTATTTGAGAAGTCGTGGCATTCCAATGAAGTTCCCAATGACTGGAAAAGGGGAAAAGTAGCTGTCATTTTTAAAAAGGGAAAAAAGGAAGACCTGGGGAACTACAGGCCAGTCAGTCTCGCCTCTGTGCCTGGCAACAGGCCAGTCAGTCTCGCCTCTGTGCCTGGCAGGACCATGGAGTAGATCCTCCTGGAAATTATGTTAAAGCACATAGGAAAAAACCAAGGTGATTGGTGACAACCAACATGGCTTCACTAAGGGTAAACCGTGCCTAACAAATTTGGTGGCCTTCTATGACGGGGTTTGTGGATAAGGGAAGAGCAACTGACATCACCTGCCTAGACTTGGGCAAAGCATTTGATACTGTCCCACACGACGTCCTTGTCTCTAAATTGGAGAGACATGGTTTTGATGGATGGACCACTTGGTGGATAAGGAATTGGCTGGATGGTCGCACTCAAAGAGTTGTGGTCAACGATTCAATGTCCAAGCGGAGGCCAGTGATGAGTGGTGTTCCTCAGGGGTCAGTACTGAGGCCAGTGCTATTTAACATCTTTGTTGGTGACATGGACAGTGGGATCGAGTGCACCCTCAGCAAGTTTGCTGATGACACCAAGCTGTGTGGTGTGGTCAACACGCTGTAGGGAAGGGATGCCATCCAGAGGGACCTTGACAGGCTGGAGAGGTGGGCCTGTGCCAACTTCATGAAGTTCAACACAGCCAAGGGCAAGGTCTTGCACACTGGGTGGAGAATGGATTGAGAGCAGCCCTGAGGAAAAGGACTTGGGAGTGTTGGTGGATGAGAAGCTCAACATGAGCCGGCAATGTGCGCTGGCAGCCCAGAAAGCAAATCGTATCCTGGGCTGCACCCAAAGCAGCGTGGTCAGCAGGTCGAGGGAGGGGATTCTGCCCCTCTGCTCTGCTCTTGTGAGACCCCACCTGCATTACTGCGTTCAACTCTAGGGCCCTCAACATAAGAAGGACATGCAGCTGCTGGAGCAGGTCCAGAGGAGGCCATGAAGATGATTTGAGGGCTGGAACACCTCTTCTATGAAGACAGGCTGAAAGAGTTGGGGCTGTTCAGTATGGAGAAGAGAAAGCTCTGAGGAGACCTTCTAGCAGCCTTCCAGTACATAAAGGGTTCCTACAGGAAAGTTGGAGAGGGACTTTTTACAAGGGCGTGTAGTAATGGGACAAGGGGGAATGGCTTTAAACTGAAAGAGGGGAGATTTCAACTAGAACTAAGGAAGAAATTCTTGACTCTGAGGGTGGTGAGGCACTGGAACAGGTTGCCCAGAGAAGTTGTGGCTGCCCCATCCCTGGAAGTGTTCAAGGCCAGGCTGGATGAGGCTTTGAGCAACCTGGTGTAGTGGAAGGTGCCCCTGCCGATGGCAGGGGGGCTGGAACTAGATGATCTTTGAGGTCCCTTCCAACCCGAACCTTTCTATGATTCTGTGACTGAAACATAGCTAGTGCTGGAGAACTGTCATGCATTGATGTCTTCTACAGATCAGGAACAGAGAGGAGAGGATAGGATACTACTAACACGAATACTGGCCAAAGAATTACATAAAACACATGCTCACAAGTATCTGAGATACAGCAACCTAACAACTGTCAGGCATCAGCTGAGCTACAGGAATTAACTACATGTATCTTCTCAGCCCACTTCAATTGCAAGGTACCCTAACTTATGAGTGAATGAGAAAAGTTCAAGTCACATCATTTTGCAACCGGCATAGCTTTAGGCAGGCACAGGCTAAAGTGATAGTGATAACTGTCCTAACTTGATTGCAACCCTGAGCTCTGTATGGTAAATGGTAGAAAGACAAAAAATGCATTTTGCAGATTCATACCATGCTACATACAAGTTTTTAAACACAAAATGTTTATTTGATTTTTATTTTGCTGAAGGATGTGAAATACTGGTTTTTGTTTTGTTTTTTTTTTTAAATCATGTAAGTTTCTCTTTATCCTAGCACACATTTTCCTTCACAATCTGTAGGTTTTCTGATGTTCAGAAGACAAACTAATGATGAATATCAGATGTTTCCCTCTCTTGTTTTTGTTGTACAAAAGGAATAAAAATGTAAGTCTGAACTACCACCTTCACACTTCTTGCAAAAGGGATGCAGGAATGTAGTGAGGAATCACTGAGACAAGCAGTTTTTCACATGCATTCTCAATACATTCTTTAAAAAAATAATGAAGTGATGCTAACAGTTCATGTTCCAGGGACGGCGGTGGAGTTTGGCCACTAATGGAGATTTTTCACTAAGGCACAAGTTTAAAGAGTGGATTGAAACTAGATTTATAACACCATCAGTTTAACTCTTCTGCAAAGACTTTAATGTACTCGTTTTAAGTATCCCATTATTCTAGGGTAAATATAATCCTTTCTAACTAAAATCTTAAATTACTTACTCAGAGAAATCCAAACATTATTCGGATTCTGTGAGAGCTGATAAGCACCCAGTCCAGCCAAACTCCCAAACAAAAGGCCAGCAGCTAGCGATGGGACACTACCTGAATACGTAAAAGATAATGCATTTATTAGAAGCTCAGAAATAAACTTGCTCATCAGCTTATCTATTTTGTAAAACATCAACAATAACAAAAAAAAAAGATGGGCATTCATTGTTACAACGCAGATTAGAGAGGTTGGGTTTTTTTTTTAAGATATTAAGACCATGCTGATCTGCACCAAGAAACACATTCAAATACTCCTGTATAATATGCAAATAGCATTAGTATTTAATTCTTTAACAGCAGAGCCATTAATGTGTTTACGATGGAAAGAATAGTGAGAAAAGCAAAATAATTGGTGTTTTCTTTGTGCACACTGAAGCATGTTGTTTCAACAGAGTAATGTTAGAATTTCTTGAGAGGCAATAAAGTAGATGCATTAAATAGTTGGGGTTTAAGAT